TATGAGGGAATGCGTTTTGAGTTTGTATCAGAACGAAAGTGTGTGGAAAGCTTTGTTAATTTGCGATTTAATCAGGCCAAGGGGATATCCAGCATTGAGAGGGAAACCTAATAAATTAGACGCATGAAATTCATAGTCAATGGGGTTAGAACATAAACATTTTTGACGGAGACATTGGCTGTATATCATATATTTTTTTAAGTTAATTGGGTGATTGCTATTGAAATTAAGAAAAGCGTGGCTATCTGTGGGTTTAGTGTAGAGGGACGTGGTGATTTGGTTGTTTTGTTAAGCGATACGGAAACGTCTAAAAATGGCAGGGTGTGAGACGTCTCTAAACTTTATATGCGAGTGAAATGAGTAGACATGGGCTTCGAATCTTTTAAAATTGTCGGTGCCACCACTTAATTAATTTATTTTTTTATTTTTCCAAATTTGATGAATACCGTATATTCATACATATTCTAAAACCTTCTTCAATTGTACTAATACTCAGATGTAATATTATCTTAATTTAGTCATGGAATAAACTTATTCCTCCATGACTCATTATTGTCGAACATTCAAAAGCATTAGATTATTATTAAAAACAACATAAATGAATGAAATATTTACCTTAAAATTCTGTGTTTTCAGTGAGGTACTAATGTGAATAGTCTCCAACCAGATATATATACTATATAGCACTGTATGCTCCAACAGAGTTTGTGTTTCAGGGTTTAACAGTGAATGTGAACAAATTATGGATAGACTTTGAACTAGCTGCTGTAAAGTGCTTAGTAGATTATTTTACCCTGAGTAAATAATGTTACAAAGTCAGGGAATTAGTCTCATCATCATAGATAGATGACAATCCAAGTCAGTTTTTTTTAACTATGCTTTCATTTTTGCAATTCATAACTACCAATCCCTCGCCCTCCCCAATTCAGATATAAACCACTCCCTCTTTGGCAGAGGGTGCTTAACTAATTTCCATCAAATATTATATGAATGTTTACAAATTGCAGACTTTAAAATAGATTAAATAAGTTTCTAAATCAGCAGAGTACCTATAGGAGGCTTAAAATTTGGGAGAGGGGTACAACAATTTTGTTTATGATTTAAATGTAATGAAGCGATTAATGAATTATTGAATAATCCAAGCTTACATTGCAACACTAAATGAACAAGCTTATTACTTGTTGAGTTGTTCATGCATGCAAGTTTAATGAAAGACATGTAATATGAGGATAAATTTGTCAGTTTAAATGAATACTGAATATACGTACATATGGGTACAAAGAATCCAAATTTACATAATTTTACTTGTAATGAAATGCTTAGAATAAATGTATGACAAAGGTATACTAATAAATGATTTATATGAAATTATATGAGTTAAAGTGCATATGTGTATTGCTAGTAAACACGAATAGATGGATTCCACTATACGTGTAATAGAAGCAATTGATTTTTTTAGAAAATAAGTAAGTAAATAATGTTTAGTTAAACAAAAGTTAATTTAAGTTCCTCCTTATAAAGTTATTTTACTTTTAAATATTTTCGTACATTACGTCGGATATGGCAAGACTAGACGTTTAAATATAATCTTATGTTACATCGATGACACTAAGACACATGCCAAAACAACAAAGCGTATTAGATTGATTAACCTCGAAAATCAAAAATGTTATTCATTTGTATTTTTTAATGAAAGGAATTGAGAGAAAGAGAGAGTGAAAATGAGAAATTGATGGAATTAACGTGTATTCATCTTGCACTACCAACTTTAATTTAAAAGCATTAGGTTATTTATGTAAACAACATAATTTAAATAATGTTTACCTTAAATTAAACATTTACCTTAAAATACTGTGTTTTCAGTGAGGTACTAATGTGAATATTCTCCAACCAGAGAGATATACTATAGTACTGTATGCTCCAACAGAGTTTGTGTTCCAGGGTTTATCTTTGGTCTTGTGACTTGGTAGGGGTGGTTTCTTTGTTTAGGCAATCAACATTGAATGTGAACAAATTATGGAGAGACTTTGAACTGCTGTAAAGTGCTTAGTAGGTTATTTTACACTGAGTAAATAATGTTACAAAGTCAGGGAATTAGTTTCATTGTCATAGATAAAATGCAATCCAAGTCTGTTTTTTAATTATATGCTTTCATTTTTACAATTCATAACCACTAATCCCTCTCCCTCCCCAATTCAGATATAGCCGACTCCCTCATTGGCAGATGGTGCTCAACTAATTGACAAATATTATATGAATGTTTACAAATTGCAGAATCTAAAATAGATTAAATAAGTTTTTAAATCAGCGGCGTGCCTATAGAAGGCTTGAAATTTGGGAGAGGGTCTCAAGTTAGGGGAATTAGCTCGCCAAATAAGGTGATATATGAGGTGATTTTTAACTACTTGAGCATGATTATTTTATTGCAAAATTGTCAATGGGGATGGTGGTGCCCCTGTGCACTCATATTGTATAATATGCCACTATTGTTGTGTTGGGGTCTATGTTGACTCGCAAGGGAGGTTAGAACTCGAATTATACTCAGTAGACTTTATGCAGTTCCTTGTTATGTTTTATTGTAAATCACAATCAAATACTGTATACAAAATGTGCTAACTCTATAAAGTCTCTCTTTTTTTTTAAGTATTCTTCTGATCACTTTGTAGTGTAAACGTAAAACACTCTCTATCTTTCTACCTCTATCTCTGTGTTTTCTTCTCTGTCATTGATTCATCAAATACCTGTTTAAGACTCATCAACTACCTGTTTAAGACTCATCAACTACTTGGGTGAATAACCTTAGTTACTTCCTGAAGTTGACCATAAGGTAGTTCTGGAATATACCTGTTGGTGCCAATGTGGGTTTCCTTGGAATTCATACATGACACCTATACCTATACAATTTTAAACATTTGGCGGATTCACTCTTAGACCCTAGACTGGGTCCAGTCCCTAATCTGTCTTTAAATCTATTTTGGCACCAATGGCGTTCCATATTACCAATTTGCTTGGCGTTTCATAGTATACTTTTTCTTGGATTGTCTAATTCGCATAACAGTTTCTCGATATATACCGTCTCTGGTGGCGCTCTCCAAAATTAACTAATACTAGGAAACCTATAATTAGAGACTTGTGGAAAGTACGTCTATCTTAGACCCCAGCCAAGAGCAGGTTTGGAATTGAACTACACTCTTAAAATTCAAGTGTTAAAATCCAACACTTTATGGGTGTCATGAGTTTTTTAACACCCAGGGTGTTGGAAATTGTGTTGAAGTGTTGCAAGGTGCTGCATTCATAACACTTTGATTAGGTGTTAAGCAACGCTTTCACAGTGTACATGTTGTAACACTTGAAGTAAGTGTTAACAGCGCCGCCATCGCTAACGAGCGCGCGGCCAGATTCAAAATTTCGAAAACGATTGCCATATTGGAATCGCGGTTCGAGGTTGCGAAGTTACTTGGAACTTGGAATAAACTTGACTGTGGAAAGCAAGATAAAATCTGATTGATTAATTTATAATGAACTTATATTTCATATTCACTTAACTTAGGCCTAGCATTATTAATTTGTGTTCGCAATTAGGGCTATGTAGAAGTGGTTCTTTCCTTGACCTGGCCGGGGGTTAGCCTATATAGGATAGGCCTAGCCAGGCTGAGACTAGAGTGAGAGTAGTCGGCCTAGGCTAGGCCTAGACTTGGCCTAGACTCTAATTTAGTAGGCCTGGGCTAGGCGCCTAACACCCAGGCCAGGCTGTATATTGTATGGCCTACCCTCATATTAGTTAGGCTAGGCAGGGCACCTATAAATGATGATTGTCACTACGTGAAGGAACAATCAAGAGGCCCATAATTCATGTATTTGATTAGGCCCTTAGGTCTTATTACCCTGATTATCCTGATACCCAGGCTTATTTTTTTATTTTTATTTATTTATTACACTTCATCACTGCAAAAATACAAGAACAATTCAAAAACAAGACAAAAAGCAGCGAAAAGGAGGGGATGAACAGGTGTCAAGCACCTCTATCTACATCCCCCCTTGAACAGAT